TATATTTATATATATAAAATCAGCTTGTCTTCAAGCGTTGTCAAATGACGAGTGCGTCCTACGTGAGATGAACCCCCTCATCACCTTCTGCCATCGAATAAGGTTCATACAACTAGATAAAAAGTAGAGTTGTTGGGGTGAGCATCTCCAAATAGTTAATTACAAAAGTTGGTGGGGTCTAAATAGTGGGTAAAGCTGCGGGAAATCTTGCTTGGAGTTAGAGATGCTTTTAGGCTACTTTTGATTTTTTGAATATTGCACCTGTCTATATCGATTTTATTCTGAAAAAAAGGAGGGAAGGGAGCTCATTTTCACTAATTTTGAGGAAATCGGCATTCCAAAATTAGACGATAATTTACCATCTACCTCTACCGCGGCACTATACCTTTTTATTTTTGGCTGATGTGCCATATTGGGTGAAGGTCGGAGTATAAATAAATCTTGTTACACGTATGGTGGGCTTCCAGAAGATAAGAGTTATGGTTATGGTGAGCGCTTCGAATAAACACGTTGAAAGGAGAGGTATCTTTTTTCTTCAATCCGCTAAAAACAAAGAAATTAGTGGCACGTAACATGTAGGTCCTGTCCCCCACAGCCCTGGCAAACCCCCGATGTATTTGCTCTACTCTCCCAGAGAGCTTTGTCAAGAGGGACAAAAATACGGCGCGTGAATTCTAAATCTAACACAGAGAACAAGCGCAGAGACGAGTACTAAACGGCAGTTTGGTGTCGGAAGGAGTCATACATGCCTCATGCTATCAAACTGTGAGTCTGTGATCTTTCTCTGTGTGCTGAAACGGAGACGTGTGACGCCAATTCAGGAGATGTAACTTCCCAAGCTGTCATTGGCTCACTGTTTGCGAGAGCGATGTTGAGCGACGTTGAGCAAAGTTGTTAGCGTCTTCTGAAAAGGAATAGATCTATATGTGCAGTCAGTTAGGGCGTTTTTATTTTTTTGTCAGTGGCACTCACTTTTTTCTACATCCTGCAATCAGATATTTTTTCTGTACACATAATACCTCAATACAATCTGAAAGTGTAACATTTGATTAAGTGAGGCCAGCGAGAGACTGATTTATCGTTTAAACAGTTGCTCAGAATTCGTTTAATCACTATCGGCATCCTTCAGCTGTAGCTTTCTTATCTTCACGATAACTGCTAGGTCTGTGATTGAATTCAAGAGAAAATATTTATTATGATGGGTCATAGTGAGCTTCAATCGTTCTGTGTGGGATTTCTGGTCTCAGCTCTGGTCATCGCCTCATGTGCCCAAACTCAAAGACGTAAGTTGACAGGCTCCATCTTTTCTGTTTTGCTCTTTCGTGTGGTTGTTGTTGTTGTTGTTGTTGTTTTGTTTTGTTTTTCAAGTGTTTTTTTTTTGGGGGG